CCCCAGTTTCTAGAGTTTCCCTGGAGGTTCATGGGTGGCATTTTCCCCACTTCCAGAATTTCCACAATTTCCAGCACTTCCCTGGAAGTTGGGGAAATTCTGGAAATGCTTCACAGGAGCAGAATTGAGCTTCCCTGGCTTCCAGCATTTCCCTGGGAGCTCAGGGGCAGAATTTCCCAACTTCCAGAATTTCCCCAGTTTCCAGCACTTCCCTTGGGGCTCAGGGGCAGAATTAAGCTTTCCTGACTTCCAGAGCTTCCCTTGGGGTTTGGGAGCAGAGTTTCCCCAACTTCCAGCGCTTCCCTGGGGCCACAGGAGCAGAATTGCTCTTCCCTGATTTCCAGCACTTCCCTGAGGTCACAGAAGCAGAATTTCCCCAGTTTCCAGCACTTCCCTTGGGGTCACAGGAGCAGAATTTTCCCAGCCTGACTTCCATCGCTTCTCTGGGGGCTCAGGGGCAGAATTTCCCCAACTTTCCCTCTCTTGCCTTACAAACGACCCCACTAATGACACAAAGAGGGGCTAACCAGGCTGGTTATGGGGAGAGGACCAGGTTTGGTACCCAGCCACCCACCCCACCTCATCCTCAGCACATCCCTTATCCCCAAAACCCCCACGCCCTCTCCCCAAACCCACCCAGCGCTGTCTCCCTGAGCACCCGGGGTTGTTTTGGACTCTGGTAACCTCAGGAGAGGTTCCAAGAAGAGAGCTCGTTAATGATTGCCTAATTGGCCTCGAGGAAGGCGCGGGGTGGGTAAAGTCTGCCCGTGGCCCGGCGGGTGCTGAGAAAAGCCCGGCTGGTTCCTGATGCGGGTTAATCATTGCCCTGCCCGGGGTTCGTTCACCTCCTGCTCCTCTTGGGGCTGCCCAAATCCTTCCCAGACACCCCAACTCCCACCTGCCGGGCCAAAACAGCCGCCCCAAAAAGCGGGATGGGCTGGCCGGAAGTGGGAATTGAGTGGTTTAATTTTTGGAGTTAATTGTCAGCTCAGCAGGGCTTGAGCTTGGGTTTATTCTAGGTTTAAATTCCCAGGAGGATTGTTCCAGCAATGAGACGCTGTGTCTCCATCTGGATCCTGCACAGACACATCCAGAGCTCCAAAAAAGCTGAAATCCCACCCAAAGCGGCAGCAAGAAGGAGTTGGAGCTGCCCCAGGCGCTCTGAGATGGATCCAGCCCCAAATCCAGCCCTAAATCCCCGCAGAGGCTTTACCTGGGAACCTCGGCCCCAGAGGGTGGGCAGGGGGTGCCCGAGGCAGAGCCTGGCTCTGTGGGATCCCTCTGCCTTTACCTGGCGTTGGATACCTTTGGGCTGAGCTCTGTCTTCACCAGGCTGAGGTATTTGCGCAGCTTCTGCCACAGGATGGGCCTGGGGAGGCTCCCGTTGGCGTGGATGGCGTGGACTCGCGCCATCTCCCGCGCCACCAGCCTGGCATGGGGCACAGGGGAAGGGTGAGGGGTGATCCCAAATCCTCCAAATCCCCCCTGCAAAATCCCCCAGAAGAGATTTGGGGGTGTCTTCAGGGGGATTCCCTGAAAATCCTGCTTAAAACACAGGGTTGGCACAGGTGAGCCCGCATTCCATGCCAGGGGTCGGCCTCTGGAGCATTTCAGAATTGTCATTTTCAGGGTAAATTCAGCCCTAAACTCTGCTTCCTGAGGAATTCCAAATTCCCAGGAAACTTTAATTCCATTTTCCCAGGAAGCCTTAATTCCAACTTTCCAGAGAATCTTAATTCTAGCCTCCTAGGAAACCTTAATTCCAACTTCCTAGGAAACCTTAATTCCAGCTTCTCAGGAAATTTTAATTCCACCTTCCCAGGAAACTTTAATTCCAGCTTCCCAGGAAACCTTAATTCCAGCTTCCCAGAGAACCTTAATTCCAGCTTCCCAGAAAAACTTGATTCCAACTTTCCAGAGAATCGTAATTCCAGCCTCCTAGGAAACCTTAATTCCAACTTCCCAGGAAACCTTAACTCCAGCTTCTCAGGAAATTTTAATTCCACCTTCCCAGGAAACTTTAATTCCAGCTTCCTAGGAAACCTTAATTCCAGCTTCTCAGGAAATTTTAATTCCACCTTCCCAGGAAACTTTAATTCCAGATTCCCAGAGAACCTTAATTCCAGCTTCCCAGAAAAACTTGATTCCAACTTCCCACAGAACCTTAATTCTGGCTTCCCAGGAAATCTAGATTCCAGCCTCCTAGGAAACCTTAATTCCAGCTTTCCAGAGAATCTTAATTCCAGCCTCCTAGGAAACCTTAATTCCAACTTCCCAGGAAACCTTAATTCCAGTTGCCCAGAGAACCTTAATTCCAGCTTCCCAAGAAAACTGGAATCAGGTTTTTGGCTTCACCAAAACCTGATAAAAATCAGAAATTTGATAATTTTCACAACTCTGGCTACAATTTCACCCATTCACCCCTCGCCCCCCATTTACCCCAGGACTGGGCACACCCGTGCCCCCCACCCACGGCAGCCAGGGCAGAGCTGCAAACACAGAACAAACCCCCAGAAAACTGGGGAAAAAAACCGGGAGGGAACCCCCCAGGATGTCCCACCCACCTGAAGATGTGAGGATCCCTCACATGGTCGGGTCCCAGCGCGATTCCCGGCAGGAATTGGTAGCAGAGCCCGTTCTGGAAGGCGCAGTAGAGGTCGGGGGCGCAGCCGTGGGCTCGGAGCACCTGGAAGTTCCTCAGCTCCGTCTCCCTGTCCACCAGCAGCTCGGTTTTCCTGCCGTACACCCGCACCAGCAGCGCGTCCCCCATGCCCTCGTCCGTGTAGCAGGCCACCAGCTTGTTGGTGATGCCGTCAGTGAAGAGCTGCGTGGGGACAGACACATCACCAGGGGTGACACCTGCGTGAGGCTGGGAATTGGGGAACCCCCATGTCTGCTTCCCAACCGGTGGGAAAAACCTTGTGGAAATGGGAAAAATGAGGAAAAGGAGGAACAGCGGAAGGTTCCTTGGGGAGTGAGATGAGTTTGGGAGGGCTGAGGCTCAGGGTTCTGCTGGTAGAAGGTGAAAATTCTCTTATTTTTCACCTGGAATGGCTCAGGAAAATCTCTGCATGCAGAAGGGGTGGTGGTTTGGGTGAAAATCTTACTAATTTCACCTAGAACAGCTCAGGAATAGCTCAGGAACACCTCTGCATGCAGAAGGGGTGGTTTGGGTGGAAATCCTACTAATTTCACCTAGAACAGCTCAGGGATATCTCAGGAACAGCTCTGCAGGTAGAAGGGGTGGTTTAGGTGGAAATCCTGTTATTTTTCACCTGGGAGCTCAGGAATACCTCTGCATGCAGAAGGGGTGGTTTGGGTTGAAATCCTGTTATTTTTCACCTGGAACAGCTCAGGAACAGCTCAGGAAGAGCTCTGCAGGCAGAGGTGGCAGTTTGGGTAAAAATCCTGTTATTTTTCACCTGGAACAGTTCAGGAACACCTCTGCATGCAGAAGGGGTGGTTTGGGTGGAAATCCTACTAATTTCACCTAGAACAGCTCAGGAACAGGTCTGCAGGCAGAGGTGGTGGTTTGGGTGGAAATCCTGTTATTTTTCACCTGGAACAGCTCAGGGATATCTCAGGGACAGCTCTGCAGGTAGAAGGGGTGGTTTAGGTGAAAATCCTGCTAATTTCACCTAAAACAGCTCAAGAACATCTCTGCAGGTAGAGGTGATGGTTTGGGTG